GACTAATATTTTACGGGTATGCCACCCTACATTTTGAATTTTCCAAAATGCCACGTTTCAATTCCGCTACACCACCCAGCGATATTGTCAGATGACACATGACGGTCAGCCATGGTGATCCATTCCCGCTGGTATGACAAGCTAGAATGGCTTGTCAATCAGACACTGTAAAGTTCTGAAAAGTTTGTCCACGTGTCATGTGCTCCCCATTCGCGCTGGTCAAAGAAGCTAGATTGGTACAGATCGTATGACTTCCTGACTTGTTGATGCATGTCAGACACGTGGCGGCTTCTCCTTATTCGCGCTTGTCAACATAGCGAGAAAAAGGCAATTACACTTCTATATAATCCCACTCTCCAACCCCACCACCGACTTTCAACGTTCCAATTTTTATTTTCTCTCAAAACTCTCTCTCTCTCTCTACGAACCACAACTGCAGTGGCAAGGTTAGTTAAGTTTTTATATTTTTTATATTTCTTTTAAGGGTTTGGTGTTTGTCATTTTAAATGACATAAGTTATGTCATTTTAGGAGAGAGATAGACACAAAAAAACAGAAATCATGGGAGAGAGAAAGTGAGTGATTTTTTTAATTTAAAATTCAAATTTTCTGTATCTGTATCTCTCTTAAAATGACATAACTTTCTGTCATTTAAAATGACAAACACTTTTCCCTTCTTTTAATATCAGCATGTGTTAAATGTTTAACAACCCTAGGATAGGTGACATTAATAATTTGATTAGATGAAGTAGTAGTATAAGTTAATTTTGTATTGTAATTAATTATTAGAATTAGTAATTAGTTTAGTATTTAATTTTGATATTGTTGTTAGTATTAGCATTTGTTAATAAAAAAGTATAGGATAAACATATAATTATTATTTTTATTATATAAATTAGTAGAATAAGTAAATTTTAGGGTAGTTAATTTTTGTAATTAACAATTAGGATATAATAATTATATTTATATTGTTGTGATTATTAGTATTTATTAATAACAAAATTATAGGATAAGAGACATTGTTAATGTTAATTATAATAGTTAGTTTAATATTATTTAGGGATTTTTAATTATCGTAATTAGTAATTAGGTTTTGTATTTATATTTATTATTTTATTAATTAGTACCATTTGTTAATAAAAAATAATAGGATAAAAATTTAATTATTTTTTTATTATATAAATTAGTAGAATAAGTAAATTTCCACACCAAAAAAAAAAGAATAAGTAAATTTTACGGTTTAAAATTTTTGTATTAGTAATTTGGGTAGTATTTTTTTAATATTGTTGTGAATTTATTAATAAACAAATTATAGGATAAGAGACATTGATAATGTTAATTACAATAATTAGTTTAATATTATTTAAGGATTGTTAATTATCGTAATTTGTAATTAGGTTTTGTATTTATATTTAATTTTTTTATTAATAGTGTTAATAAAAAATTATAGAATAAAAATGTAATTTTTTTATTATAGGGGACGCTGACACGTGTCGTGAAAGTACGCACCAAACCAGCTAGGCAGCCCAGCGCGATTAAGGGGGTGCTGACACGTGTCCGAAAGTACAACAAATCTAGCTTGGTTGACTTGCGCGAATAGTGAGAGGGTGACACGTGGCCCGCTTTTCAGAAAGTACAGCGAATATAGCTGGGCTGACCAGCGCGAACGGTGGGAGGGTGACACGTGTCTTGCTTTTCAAAGTGTGCAGACTGGTTGATTGACAAGCCATTCTAGCTTGTCATACCAGCGAGAATGGATCACCATGGCTGACCGCCACGTGTCATCTGGCAATATCGCTGGTTGGTGTAGCGGGATTGAAACGTGGCATTTTGAAAAATTCGAAATGTAGGGTGGCATACCGATAAAATATTAGTCAAAAGGTGTTACTTTGGTCAAAGTCCCAAAATATTTTTGTCCAAAATTTTTATCGAAATATTGTTCGTCATATGCATTTTACCAAATGTTTTCAAAGAAATGTGTTCCACTGAAAATTTTGATGGAAATGTTTTTTATCAAAAAACTTGGCGGAAATATTTTTCGTCGAAAATTTTGAATGGAAATGTGTTTTGTTAAAAATTTCGACGGAAATTTTTTTGGCAAAAAGGTTTAACGAAAATGTTTCCGTCGAAAACTTTTGACGGAATTTGAATTTCGTAAAGAATTTTGATGAAATTTTTTTCCGTCAAAAGTTTTCGAAGGAATTGTGTTTCGGGGAAAATTTTGATAGAAATATTTTTTCATCAAAAATTTTGATGAATTAGTTTTTTTTGTGAAATATTTTTTCCGTCAAATTTTTTTACAGATATGTTTTTAGTCACAAATTTTGATGGAAATAGTTTTCGTCAAAATTTTTTGCAGAACTTTTGATGGAATTGTGTTCCGTAAAAATGATGTTTACCAGCAAGTGTACCGATCGCACAAGTAATACAGTGATAAGGAAAGTATCTTCTCCACAGGGATTGAGATCAAATATCAAATAATTGTTCCTTTTAAGATGGGAAAAGTTCAAATAGGTGTGACAAATATTGTTGATTTGATTAAAAATATGAAATAAAAGAAAGAACGTATTTTTGGAATTTTTGTGATGAATAATAAAAAAACAATTAAGGATTGATTTGTAAAGGTATGAGAAAGCATTGTAGCTAGAGTGCACTCACCAAATGATTCCTGCTTCTTACTTTGGATTGATTTACAATACTCATTTATATAATTACTCAGATAAATTATTATCTAAAAAATATTCAGTAGTTAACCCTCAATTAATTGCAAGATTAACCCTTTAACCCCAATTCCTTGCAATGTTCCTCATGGCATTAAGCAATGAACCCAATAATTTAAGCATCTGCAATCAAATATACACCTATTCCTAGCATGCATATAAATTGTTATCCTACCCCCTTTCAAGATCAAAATTCCAATATTCCTATCGAGGGTTCTAACCTTCAAACTATCATCAACTATTAGATTGATCAGTTCTAGCAATGAAGACAAAAATTACACACAGGGTAGAGATAAAGATAATTACATAAACGAATAATTATAAACTAATCTGTTGTAACAAGGGTTCACATAGGGTTCGTGACCCTAACTACAATAAAAAGTACCTAGCCAACCATGGTCATGGCTGAAATATCAATATTCAACATGAACTGGAAAATGGAAAAGGGAAGAAGAAGATGAACAAGATCTTCGCAAGACTCTCCCTCTGAGCACGACCGCCGTCTTTGAAGAATTAGCCTCTCAATTTTGTGTAAAGCATCCTATTTATAAGCCACATTTCCTTCTTCCAAGTTTGTCCTCGTAAAAACACGGTACTGTAAAATCGCAAACAGGCACGGGTCCGCGCCAGTTTTCTGCCCGTGGTACTGTGTCATTTTTTCCAACTGGTGCGGGTCCGCGCCAAATCCCTGGTTATTAGCCCTGCATCGCGGCACTAACTTGCGCCGTTTCTCTGGAATTTTGGCCCAAGGACATAATTCAACATGGAACTTCCACCCGTGTGGAGTCGCGTCACCAAGCTTTTTACACTTTCGTAGTTTCCACCTTTTCTCCCTATATAAACATATCAAATAGGTGAGAAATGTCATTGAGATGGAAAAGTCAATATAATAAGCAAATACGTATAAAAAGTGCTCTTTTATGACTGAATTCTCATCATTTTCAGCTTGGAAAACTACATCTGCCAGAGGCACATCAAAAAACAACGTGAAAATTTCTATAAGAATCATTTCGTCCTGAGAGTTCCAAAACAATGAAGATTCTTGCAAGAAATAGTTGGTCAACTACCTATACACTCTCAGACACAATCCAGGACTCAATCCAGGAAATAATTACTTAATCCAGCAAAACATTACATAGACACTCTCAGACACAATATGCTATGCATGACTGACCCAATATCATAAATTTCTGACAATGTCATCAGCTTTCTAAAGATACAAGTCTACATCGATTACCCCTCACACAGATAAATAATTTTCACTCAACACTCAGTGTTTAAGGGTATCATGAGCACTCAATCAATCACAACTATAACACTAGCATAGGCTTGATAATATTCTAAAAAATTCTTAAAAATGAAGAATCAAACACATGCACCAACTGATCAAAAGGACTTCACATGTTATAACTTGGCCGGGTTAAAGGGTAGGAATATATGGATAGTAGCTCAAACAACAATGAGATTGAAAAACTGATACTCTTTCACTTTAGCACACTCAACTCAATGGTTTTGATCCACTAATATTCCCACAGAATTTCGGGAATTAATTCCTTTTAGCCACCTTTTATGCATATTTATTCTTTTTTTTATAAGGGTACAAATGAAATATGCATTCCCTAATCACTTAACTATTGTGGAGCTTACCTCAATTTCTTTGTTTTATTTTTCAACACATCAGTGATTAAATCTCAATCAAGGTAAGTCACATGGATATAAGCTAAGTCATCACTCAAGCCACATGTCATTTATCAACAAAACAAGTTCAAGCTCAAGGGGCTAGCAATGGAAAAATTTCATACAGGTGGGCTATTTTGGCCATAGGCTAATAAGAACAAAATGCCTTTATCATTTCGACCAATGCACGCATTACAGAGAAACATATCAAGTTCTAGAGTGTTACAACTGTGAGATCTCTCAACAAGAAAATTTAGTGTTTAAGCTCAAACCTCACAGCTATGGTATCAATATAGACTCAAGAACATTAGCCTCAGACATTATCAGAATTTCACAACATCAGTTCAGACAAACGAGCAATCATGTAATCCAATTATACCTATGCAATGCCATGCCAGAATTTCATACAAACATACTTCCTAAGATTCAATCCATCAAATGAACTGGGTAAGCACATTTAAACCTGAGGATTGCTTGAGAAACAAATCAATATGTTGTTTTTTAGAGATAAAAGCAACACAAAATAACTAACAAAAATTAAAAGAAAATTAAAAGAGTTTAGAATATCTCCCCTGATAGAAGAAGTGCAGTTCCAAGGTGCTTTTCAAAAGCCTACCATTCCCAGATTTAAAGAATTGTTGTCCCCAGCAATAGTCAAACCAAAGGATGGAAGAAGAATCTGCACCATGGAACAAACAACAACATATAGAATAAACTATAATGCGCATAATAAACATCAGAGTGTTTGGGAAATATACCAACACAAATCAGCTAAATGACCCTAACATCAACCTATGGTCATAATAAAACAGCAAAAGTACCAAAAACATAAACTAAAATAGTATACAAGAAATCTCCGTCAACAAGGAGATACAATCAATCCTCCATGTCATCCCCCTCAGCAGCATGGGATGACTCAGCAAATGGAGGATCTGGTGGTACTGGATGTATCGGTGCATGAGACCACTATTCCCAGATTTGATTCCAACCATGAAGCCATGTGAAGAACTCTTTGAAGTATTGTTTTCTCTGAGAGATAGAGTCTTGGTGTCTCTTTTCACATATTCTCCTTTTGGCGGTCTTCAACCTCCGGTAATCCGCACACATCCTCCAACCAGTATCAAAGAGTTTTACCACTTCCTTTCATATTACCTTCTTCATTGTAGGATTATGCCTCCTTTGAGGTTTCCTCACATGTTTGACATCATCCTCCATGTCAATTTTGTGGGTACAGAAAGAAGGATCTATACCTTTCAAATCAGAGACAGACCACCTTATGGCAGTCTTATGTTCCTTCAGCACTTCAATCAACCTTCGTTCTTGCTCAAAAGACGATCCCTTATTAATGATAACAGGGTAAGTCTCCTCATCACTCAAGAAGATGTATTTAAGAGTTTCAGGAAGCTCTTTCAACTCCACTTTTAGGGCACCATCTTCTTTGTCATCATCTTTCTTTTCAAAAACCTCAAATGCTACATTCTTTTCTTCCTTAAAATGAACAATATCATGCGCCTCGAGTTCTTCATCAAGCTCTTGACTAGAAGATTTTTCTGTTTCCCCACTTCCTCTAAAACATCAAGACTAAAACAATCGCCTTTGTCATAAGAATGTTTCATAGAGTCAAAGACGTTGATGGTAATGGTCTCATCATTCCTCCTTAACTCATGCTTTCCATTTTCAACATCAATCATGGCCCGAGCAGTGGCCAAGAATGGTCTACCCAGCAAAAGAGGCATTTTAGTTCCCCCTTCCATGTCCAACACTACAAAATCTGCTGGAAAGATGAACTTGTCCACTTTCACAAGGAAATCTTCAATTATACCATTGGATTTCCTTAAAGATTTGTCAGCAAGTTGCAAGGAAACCATAGTAGGTTTGAGCTCAGATATCCCCAAAGATTTATACACGGACAATGGCATCAAATTTATACTTGCCCCAAGATCACACAAAGCTTTGCCAACATTTATGTTACCAATAGCAATAGGAATATTAAAACTTTCTGCATCACGAAGCTTGGGAGGAAACTTCTTCTGTATTATGGCACTACACTCCTCAGTGAGTGTTACTGTCTGGCATTCCTGCAGCTTGTGTTTTCTTGATAACAAGTCCTTCATAAACTTGGCATAATTAGGCATATTAGCCAAGGCTTCAACAAAGGCTATATTAACATGCAACTTTTTGAAGATATTAAGAAATCTGGCATATTGCTGCTTCTGAGCATCTTTCTTGAATATTTCAGGATAAGGTGCCATGGCTCTCACATATTCAGAACTCAACACAAATTTCTTCTTTTCAGCAACAATCATCTGCTCTTCTTCTTCACCTTTCTGAAAAGGCTTCTCAACAGTAAAAGGAATTACCACTTCTTTTTCCGGCTCCTTAACCTCCTTAAACTTCTCTTCAGCTCCTACATTTATGTTTGGCTTTTCCGGAGCTGCCACCACTTTACCACTTCGAGTTGTGATAGCCGTACAATCTTCCTTTGGATTAGTAATTGTATTACTAGGGAAGGTACCTGGAGTTCTATCAGCAATTTGCTTAGCCAGTTGGCTAATCTGATTCTCTAAATTTCTGATAGATGCATTTGTATTTTTGGTATTGGCCCTAGTCTCTTCCATGAAGGCATTGGAATGTTGAACCATTTCTCCAACTAACCTCTCCAAATCAGAAGGTTCCTTTGTTTGGATTGGTGGAGGCTGCAGATAATGGTTTGATGTGAAATCAAGACCAGTTCCTTGCACCCTCCTCTGAAAATTACTTCCAGAAGGAAAATTCTGATTTCTTGGAATATTTTGTGGTAGAGGTCTCTGGTCATACCAAATGCCATTAACATGCATTTGTTGAGGAGGATCAGAAGACAACAAGGAAGGACATTCATTAGACTCGTGATTGTCCTTGCAATATTCAGACACAACTGCCGCAACTTTAGTCTGAACATTAGAAAGTTGCTTCTTATCAAGCCTCTCTGTCAGAGTTGCCATTTGCTGAGATAATAATTTATTTGCAGCTAGCACCACATCATTACCTTCCAGTTGAAGGATACCTCTCTTAGGTTTAGATGACAACCCTTCATTTTCATTGGTAGCCATTCTCTCAATCAATTCAAGAGTCTCATTTGCCCTCAAAGATTTAATCGTGCCACCTGCTGCACCATTCAGCACCATTCGAACCTCAGGTTTACAACCGTTGAAGAAAATTCTTACTTGGTTGCCAGCAGTCAAGTTATAATGAGGACACCTCATTAAATCCTTGAATCTGTTCCATGCTGCACATATAGTTTCACCCTCTGATTGAGTGAAATTGGTGATGTCATTCACCATCTGATTGTATCTCTCTATTGAGAAGAACTCAGAAAAGAACTTCTGAGATAAATCATCCCATGTCGGAATACGTCTTGCAGGCTGCCTTTCCAACCAACTAAGAGCTTTTCCCTTAACAGCAACATGGAACAACCTCATCCAGATTGCATCATTGGACAATTGAGGGTGTTTGGTTGAGTCACAGATCATCAAGAATCTGTCTATGAACCTGTGAGGATCTTCGTTCTCCTCCCCTCCAAACTGAGCTCTCTCCACCAATTGAATATTGGAAGACTTGAGCTCCCAATTGTTGTTGGCAACATCAGGCTGGACAATGCTCGAGTTTGGTCTGTTAAAAGATGGAGTCAGGATAGTATCCATGAATGGATTGTCTGCATCATTGTTTCCTGCCATGATTTGTTATTCTTCAGGCAGAGTCTCAAGCTCTTTGAATTCAAGCTTCTTCCGAGCGAGTTTTCTATTTCTCTTTTCAGTCTTTGTAATCTCGGGATCAAATAGAAATTCTTCAGTTTTGCCTCGCATACAACTCAGAAAAGAGATTAGTAGCACTTTTCAAATAAAACAAATAAAAAAATAAAAAATCACAAAATCCAATCTTAAAGATCAAGATTATATGATATAAGAAATGCCAATCCCCGACAACGACGCCAAAAACTTGATGCTCACCAGCAAGTGTACCGATCGCACAAGTAATACAGTGATAAGGAAAGTATTGTCTCCACAGGGATTGGGATCAAATATCAAATAATTGTTCCTTTTAAGATGGGAAAAGTTCAAATTGGTGTGACAAATATTGTTGATTTGATTAAAAATAAGAAATAAAAGCAAGAACGTATTTTTGGAATTTTTGTGATGAATAATAAAAATAAAAATAAGGATTGATTTGTAAGAGTATGAGAAAGCATTGTAGCTAGAGTGCACTCACCAAATGATTCCTGCTTCTTACTTTGGATTGATTTACAATACTCAGATAAATTATTATCTAAAAATATTCAGTAGTTAACCCTCAATTCCTTGCAAGATTAACCCTTTAACCCCAATTGGAACCCCAATTCCTTGCAATGTTCCTCATGGCATTAAGCAATGAACCAAATAATTTAAGAATCTGCAATCAAATATACACTTATTCCTAGCATGCATATAAATTGTTATCCTACCTCCTTTCAAGATCAAAATCCCAATATTCCTATCTAGGGTTCTAACCCTCAAACTATCATCAACTATTAGATTGATCACTTCTAACAACGAAGACAGAAATTACGCACAGGGTAGAGATAAAAATAATTATATAAACGAATAATTATAAATCAATCTGTTGTAACAAAGGTTCACATAGGGTTCGTGACCCTAACTACAATAAAAAGTACCAAGCCAACAATGGTCAAGGCTGAAATATCAATATTCACCATGAACTGGAAAATGGAAAAGGGAATAAGAAGATGAACAAGATCTTCGCAAGACTCTCCCTCTGAGCACAACCGCCGTCTCTAAAGAATTAGCCTCTCAATTCTGTGTAAAGCATCCTATTTATAAGCCATCTTTCCTTCTTCCAAGTCTGTCCCCGTAAAAACACGGTACTATAAAATCGCAAACTGGCGCGGGTCCGCGCCACTGTGGCGCTGGACCGCGCCACTGTGGCGCTGGACCGCGCCACTGTGGCGCTGGACCGCGCCAGTTTTCTACCTGTGGTACTGTGTCATTTTTTCCAACTGGCGCGGGTCCACGCCACTGTGGCGCTGGTTCACGCCAAATCCCTGGTTATTGGCCCTGCATCGCGACGCTAACTTGCGCCAGTTTGGAGCTAACTTGCGCCGTTTCTCTAGAATTTTGGCCCAAGGACATAATGCAACATAGAACTTCCACCCGTGTGGAGTCGCGTCACCAAGCTTTTTACACTTTCGTAGTTTCCACCTCTTCTCCCTATATAAACATATCAAATAGGTGAGAAATGTCATTGAGATGGAAAAGTCAATATAATAAGCAAATACGTATAAAAAGTGCTCTTTTATGACTTAATTCTCATCATTTTCAGCTTGGAAAACTACATCTGCCAGAGGCACATCAAAAAACAACGTGAAAATTTCTTTAATAATCATTTCGTCGTGAGAGTTCCAAAACAATGAAGATTCTTGCAAGAAATAGTTGGTTAACTACCTATAACCAGGAGAAACAAATGACTACTTATAAAAATAGCACAATCCATCAAAATTCGATTTTGAATTTTTTAAAAACCGGTTTTGAACTTGATAACCGGTTTATGGTTCATAACCGGTTTTGATTTAAAACCGGTTTTGAATTAAAATCGGTTTTGAATTAAAACCGGTTTAAACTAGTTTTAATTCAAAACCGGTTATAAACCACAAACCGGTTTGAACAAATTAAAAACCGTTTTTTTTTTTAAAAATGGTTCAGTTTAAAATCCAAACCGTTAAAACTGGTTGGGTTTGGTTTTTGACAATAACCGAACCGAACCGAACCGCTCCATGCACACCCCTAAATGAAAGAAAAAACTATTGTAGATATTGACAAAATTACATGTTCGTTGACATTTGACAACTATTTTGTCTTTTATAGACACATTATTTTTAGGATTTAATGTCTCTCATATTATAGGAGACAAATTTTATCTCTTATATATACATATAAATATATGGGATTCATATTTTATTTTTGTCTCTGTTTCAATTTTTTTTAAGGTACAACAATAGTACCATTTACTCATTGGGATAACCAATCAAAAATAGAGAGAGAAGGTGAAAGTCGGATGAAAAAAAAAATTCCAAGTAACAAATTTTGTAAGGGAGTCGCACATGTGACCGTCGCACCAAAAGTTTGCTCCTTCTCTTCACATATCCCCGTGGGCCCTACATACTTTTATATATGTGTAGGAGATAATTTTATCTCCTACTAGATGAGTAGGGTCGACTAAACAGGCTCGGCTCGACTGGTCGACCAGCCATGCCCGTCGAACGGAGCAGGACGGGTTAAGTTTTACAACCCACTCTCAAAAGTGAGCGAGGTAGGTTGGACTCATTTTTTGGCGGGGAGGGCCCGACCGAGATTGGTCAGTGTAAAATAGGTTTAAATCGGCGAGGCGGTCCTAGTTTTTTAGCCCACTTTCAAAAACAGGGCGGGGCGGACTGACTCATTTTATGACGGATTGATGGTAGGTCGCGCGGGGGGGGGGGGGGGGGCATCTACTTTACCATCTCTATACATGAGAAACATTAAAACCATTATTTTGAGATTCCTGGAAAAGTGATAGTGGCAATTCTATTTATCCACATTTGCTATAAGGTTTCTGAAAAATTTCCTGAGAATTTGATTTTCTCGAAATTTTGTTTTGTGTACAATTTTATTTCAAAATGCCATCCAAGAATACCACCAATCCAAGGTGTTAAAAATTTTTTGCACTTTTTTGGGAACAAAATCCCGATAATATTTTGACATACCAACCAGTTTTTTGATAACATTTCCCAGAAAAATAATTTTTTCACTATATTCCTGAAAATTATAATTTTCGAACATAAAAAAATTTATCCGTTAGAAAAAGAAGTGAATACGAAATATCCAAACCCTTTATATTTGATACTTGCATGGAGCTCATATGAAATAGAAAATTTGATACCAATGGAAGCTAAATTAGCACTTAGGGATTGATGTAGTCCAATCTGTCGCACCCAGCAAATCACCTTCACCATTTCGTATCAACCAAATTAAATTTATTTTTTTAAGTTAATTTTTAACTCCTCTATTTATTTAGGGTTTGCTTTTTCTAGGTTAATGTAAATAATTTATTTACATTGAGCCCAAAACAACGTCATTTTGAGGAGAAAGTTAATGTATTTTTGTAATTATAATTTATTTCAGGATTATAATAATCTTTTTCATTATAATTTTTTAATTTTTCAACAAAAAACGACGTCGTTTTGAGAACAAATATAAATAACTTATCTATATTTACGGTAGAAATATTAAACCCATTTATTTATTATTTAGATAAGTACAACTCACATTCATGATTCATCTATTTCTTTTCTTAACAAGTTTTTTTTTTGGGTGGAAATTTTCTTAACAAGTTAAATAAGAGCACAAACAGTACAATAACGTTATTTGATTAAATCATTAAAGCATACAAAAATCTTGCAACCATTAGCTTTTATTCCTCGAATTTTAGAACTTTCTTGCTTACTCGCTCTCCCCAATTTTGATCTTCTAATTTTTGTGTGTCCTATATTTTTGCTCTTAACCATTTTCACCAGCGTTGCAGTAATGAAACTCCCATTTTTGCGCCTTCACTCAATGGGTATGACAATGGAATCTCAAATTCCTATACCTATCAATATTAGTTACCCATCCCAAATTTAATAGTTGCATAAATTTCCAATGATAAGCTTTACATGAAATATGATAAATATAATATTGCTTTATATGTAGCACATATAAATCGAACATTATTGATGTTTAACTTGTTCTATACATAACAACATCATGATTTGGATTGTTTTTGTTGAATATGTGTCACTTGATGGCTACTTTGACTTGGAGATTACAAAAGAAATAAAGCAAAAAAATGTGCTTATTACTTCCTCCGTTTCAAAATAAAATAAGTATCTACCTCTTATACTTTAACCATCATTTCTTTATTTTTCTTGGCAAAAATATATTTTGGAGTTTGAATATGCTAAATATTTAAAAAAGGTGATTATTAAATAAATATACCTTGAGACAAGCTATGCACGTACCTTTAACTTCGTGTTAATTACAGTGTGGAGTATACCAATACAAATTGAAATTGCACATCTCAGCCTAAAATTTAAGATTCTATTTTTTAGAAAATAATATAAATCATTAAAAAATTCTCACTCAATAATTTAAGTTTTTGGGTTGGATTAATTTTTTTATATTATATTAGAGTTTCAGTGACCACGAGATCATGGGTTTGATCTTCACTCCATCCACGTTCTAGTGTAATTAAATAAATTAAGTTTAAGATAAATCAAAAATTAAATTTATGCAATATCCACGATTCAAGTTCAAAGGACTTTTGCATGAGATGATGTGTTATAGAATAATATAAAATATTAAAAAAATCCTTATCCAAAATTTAAGCTTTTAAGTTTAATTACTTCTTTATATCTATTTCCTTTAACAAATTTCCCGATTTTAGAAAACTATGAAAAAGTTTTACTGGTTTTATTTTTGCCGAAAAATACTTTGAAAAATTATCTTCTATTTATTTATTTTTTGCGTAGTGAAAACGTATGGACCTCAATGGCAATGATATATGACCAGAGACAGCGCAATCAAGGGCAAAGGAAATCCACAAATTGGGAAAAGTTGAGAAGAGCACCAAATATTGTCAATCTTTCTTTCCTCAAAAGAAAGAAAGAAAAAGGCCATTTAGTCCTAAAATTAAAGGTAATTTATTCCCAAAAAGAAGAAGAAGATAGTATTATTCCGATTTACGAGTGCCATAAAAAGCAATAATATTCCAATTTTTTTTTTTGGTAAAAAAAATTCCAATATATACTTCTTCTTCTTCCAATTGGAATAATATTCCAATTTGGCTTCTGCTTGAGGTTGCAGCTTTCAACTTTTTCTTTTTCTTCTTTTATGCTTCATATATTTTTTATTTTATTTTTCTTTTTAGTTAGTGTTCCAGCCTTTATTTATGTAATTATTTCTTTTTCGGTACAATCCAGCGTTTACTATGTAAGACGTGCCCGTGAAGTAATTTGAAATATTGCACTTGATCACTGACCTTCTGACACAGACTGAGTATGTGTAGACAAAAATTTTAGAAAGAAAAAAAAAGTTCCAGCCACATGGCAATTAACAACAAATATATATACTGTAAATATTAACAACAAAAATTAGAATAGATACTTATACATTGACATTTACTCTTTTATTTTTTAAAAGTCTACCATGACAATGTAAAAGCTTTAAATTTGATATAATTTTGAACTACTCTTATTGCAAAACATATTTATTTGAAAATAAGAAAATTTTATGAAAAATATTGAATATAAAAATGAAGAATCTTTTTTATATTATCACAATGAAAATTATTATTAAATAAATAATTTTAATTTATTTTTCATGTAAATAATCTTTCAAATTATGCACTGTCATTGAAGGAATTTATTTATCCCAGTAACTACTTTGAAAATTTTAGAGATGTGTCGACATATTATTTAATAATAATATTTCACTATTATAAAATTTAAATAATTTTTTGTTTTTGGAAATATTTCTATCGGTTGATTACTTCGCAACTAATCCGATTCGGGGCGGGTCCAGGATTAAGGCTTTAAACCTCTCCCAAAGGTGGTACTGGGAAGATTCGAACACATGCTCTCATCCCCACATGCTTAGCTTCCATGCGCCAACTGAACTATCACCATTTGGTAAAATTTAAATAATTAAATCATAGTAATAATTATTTAAAAGATTAAATATTTTATTAGCTTTACACTTATCGTTTCATAGGAGAAGTGACGAGATTCTCATAAAAAAACAAAAATTCGGGCCACATTTTTAAAAAAAGAAAAAAAGTGAGGCACAACGTTCGAGCTTTCATTGGCAGATGAAGTGATTTTTCCATATTTTATATAGGTAAATTATAAATTAATCAGAATTTAAAATCTTAAAACCATATAAATCTCAAGATAAAAAATAAAAATAAAGATAAAGATGATAATAATAATTCCCTAAAACAAAAATTGATTACAATTAAATGTTTATTATTCAATAAACTCAAATTTAAAACAGGTCCAAATCTTATTCTTCAAAACAAGTTAAATTTTTTTAAGTTAACTGTTTCTTTGAATAAACACCGAAATTTGAATCTACAACTTTTCTGATCCAATTGCTTAGTGTCTGTTTGGATCCTCTTTTTTTTAAGCTACAAGCTACTTATAAGCATAAGCTAGGTCAAACAGGTTTTGGGAAAAGCTCTTATAACGAAAATCTCTTTTTTTTATAATGAAGAAAAAAGCTGAAAATTAAAAGCTCCTAGGAGGAGCTTTTTTTTAAGCTCTTATCTGTTTTTCTTGAATTGTGTGCTTTTTTTAAAAATAAAGAGTGATAAAGATAGAAAGAGATAATTTTCTTGAAATATGTGCTTTTAAGTAATTTTTAAGCTAAAACTTTTATGTAATTTCCAAACAGCTTTTAACTTATTTTTTTAAGCTCTTTTTTTTAGCTTTAGCTTATAAGTAGCTTCTAGCTTAAAAATAAGAGGATCCAAACAGGTCAAATTAATGCATGACACAAGTCAAATTTATTTGTTGGGGCTGCCTAGTTGAGGCAACTACACTAATGCATGACACAAGTCAAATTAAGAGCCCCTTTCTATAGACTTTTGAAAAAAGATTTTTTAAAAGGTAAAATTATTTTACGTTTAAATGTATAATTTGAAAATTGCTTTTGTATAAATTTTTTTTTTGAATGTTAAAAAAAAGCACTTTTTGTATATAAATTTCAAACAAAAAATTAACGGGGAGAGCATGATTGTATTCACTTTTTATATACAAAATTACAAAATCTACATGCATGGACATGCATTTAGATACAATGCTGTATTCACTTTCTTGTTTGTTGTGTCTATTTTCTTGTTTTTGTGATTGTGGCTTAAAAAAAAAAGGAAGAAGAAGAAAAAAACAAGGACCAAACACCAAGCATAGAATTGTACCTTTTACCAAGAAAAAGAAAAAAGAAGAACTAAAAATAGCAATTGTAGGATGAAGAGAAATGAAAGAAAACGATACCTTGAAGGAGAAAACATAAGAATGAAAATAAAAAAAGAAGAAGATATTTGATTGTAAAGTGATAAGTTGTTATAGCTAACCAAAAAAAAAAAAAATAGCATGCTAGTAGGATAGAAAGAGATAATGGGTTAATAGGATAAGGTTATATTTATATTTTAAAAATTTATATTATATTTTAAATTCTGTTTTTTCCAAAAGCAATCAACTATTGATTAAAAAAATAAGTACCATTTTAACTTTTATTTTATTTTTTAAAAAATTATTATCCAAATATCTAAAAAATTTTAAAATGATTTTTTTTAAAAGCAACTTTTTTAGAAATAAAAACTTATCCAAACGCGCTTTAAGTATAGTTTATAGTTAATTGAAAATATTATAGTTAAAACTAGCAAATTATTAATTTAACTTACATATGTTGTAAGATTATTCGAGTTACTCAGTTGAGTTTGACTCATTTTGACGCTTACACTGATACAAAATAATTTTTATAATATTTTATTGAGACACAAGGAAATGAGGAATTTATAATTTTTTTTTAAAGATGAATTTAAATTTTAATCATCAAATAAAGATAAACGGTATTATAAAAACTTAAAATAATATCATATATATATATTTTTTAATGCAAAAAATCAACATAGGAAACGTTCCTCACCCTATAAATTGATGGGGAGACAAAAGTTTTTCTTGCTTCACATGACTTGTTTCTCTCTTTGTTTCTTTGTGTCTCCATTCTCTCCGTGATCGAAGGTACTGGTTATGGTTGTAGTTAAGGTTGTTCACTTTTATTTGTACTTTCCCGTGCAGATATCATAAGGACCCTATTAGCTTGGAACCAACAAGAACTTCCATCTCGGTTCTCACGGGATTTTCCTCTCTCTCTCTCTCTCTTATATGATTTTTACTTTCTTAGCCTCATAATATCTTAACTTTTCGTCCAGTGAGAAAGAGAGGTCACTGTAATACAAGTGTCATAAACTTTGTGGTTCATCTTGCATGAATTGACTTGACTGGTTCAGTGCAGAGAGTGAAAAAGCACATATACTGAGAAGATGGCTACTCGCAACATTGAGAAGATGGCTTCAATTGATGCTCAGTTGAGGCTACTGGCACCAAGGAAGGTTTCTGATGATGACAAGCTTGTCGAGTATGATGCTTTATTGCTGGATCGCTTCCTCGACATTCTTCAGGATTTGCATGGCGAAGACGTCAGACAAACGGTATTGTTAAATCTTTTGCTACTTTACTCTTGTGCTTATGAAAAAGATGAGTTTTTTTAGCCCAACATTAACACATTTCTTAAACCCCATTTCAGTTTTTATGAAAAGGAACTCTTTTGGTCTTAGAATATGGATGTTTGTAATTGTTGGCATGTGCCCACTGGAGTGGATATTACAAATTTACAATTTCATAAAATTAGTTGATAATATAATTTTCAAATTGCTCATTTTAAATTGTTATTTCATATGTGGAATAGAGGCCGAGTCTTTGAATAAGTTTCTCGTGACTAGAAGGTTATGATTGTGACAAGAAGGTTATGGATTCTAGTCTGAAAAATAGTCTCTTTTGCAAAAATAAGGTTGTGTACAATCTGAACACTTAGAAGTCGGGGAGACTTGTCCACATGGGTTGCCCTTATTTCATATGAGGAATGGGCCTTGAATGTGTGTTCTGTGTCTCTTCTCATTTTGATCCTTTGTGGGCTAAAAGTTCTAATTTTAGGAAATACATACTCATGCTTTTGTGAATGAGATCTTTTTCACTTGCATATGCTTCGTTTCTTTTTCTTTTTCATTTTCATTCTTTTTATTTTTCCCTGCTACTTATCTGAACTTATGTCTAAGAGGTTCAATAATTTGATACTTGCTAGGTTCAAGATTGTTATGAGCTGTCAGCTGAGTATGAAGGGAAGCACAATCCTGATAAGCTGGAGGAACTTGGGAATATGCTGACTGGTCTTGATGCTGGGGATTCTATTGTCATTGCCAAATCATTTGCTCACATGCTTAATTTGGCCAACCTAGCAGAGGAAGTTCAAATTGCTTACCGAAGAAGGATCAAGTTATTAAAGAAGGGCGATTTTGCTGATGAGAACTCTGCCATTACCGAGTCTGACATCGAAGAGACTTTCAAGAGGCTTGTGAATCAACTGAAGAAGACCCCCCTGGAAGTCTTTGATGCTTTGAAGAACCAAACTGTAGATTTGGTCCTAACCGCTCACCCTACTCAGTCTGTTCGCAGATCTTTGCTGCAAAAGCATGGAAGGTTTGTCCATTACATTAATCAATATTCAGTTGTCTTAACTCAGAGTAATTATGGTAGTTCATTCATTGTTGCATTTATCATTTAGGTGCACCTGAAGTTATAAATCAGTGACCTATAATACAGGATATTCTATATACTATTTCTGGCATTGTGGCAATTTGTGCACTAAGGCTTAATCTTTCTATTGGTGATCATTATTTTCTTTTACAGGATAAGGAATTGTTTAACACAGTTGTATGCTAAAGACATAACACCAGATGATAAGCAGGAACTTGATGAGGCTTTACAGAGAGAGGTGCAGTCTTGATTCCATATACAATATATACATGATGCCATTAGTCACAGGCTTCACATCCAGATGATTCTCTGAGTTGATTGATGCTTTACCCATAGTTTTTAGTGATTTATAAACATCATGATGTAAGATGATATTTTCCTGTAAACGTTCACTGGTATCATGGAGTTTAGACACAATGACCGAATGATTTATTTGATAATTGCTAATAATCTGAATTATATGTGTTCTATGCCTTGGCATATAGTTGGCACTGAAGATATTTTGTGATAACATGCTCTGTTGTCTTGAAAGTATGGGTGGGTAAAGTTTATATTTTAACGTTAGATGCTGTTTTTGTCATCAGTTATCTGTTAAATTCTAATTGTATTGATTTGGCTGTTCCATTTGACTTTCCCTTCCCTTTTTTTCGATCATGTGAATAACTTTTGTGGTTATGAATGTGGTTAGGTTTATATATGGGAATTTTATGGCAAAGCTACATCCCTAATGATGTTTTTCTCTTGTGCAGATTCAAGCTGCATTTCGGACAGATGAAATTCGAAGGACTCCTCCTACACCCCAAGATGAGATGAGGGCAGGAATGAGCTACTTTCATGAGACGATTTGGAAAGGTGTACCAAAGTTTTTGCGCAGGGTTGACACAGCTCTGAAGAACATTGGAGTAGATGAACGTGTCCCATATAATGCCCCTGTTATTCAATTCTCTTCTTGGATGGGAGGAGATCGTGATGGTATCTTTCTTATCCCTCAGATCCTTGATGCTTCATATTTTTCTTTATTCATTTCACTGTCTACTTTTGGCTCTCATCTTCAGTATTGAGTGTTGCCTTGGATACATGGCTTGTAATATACTTATTGCTTGGGTATTACTTACAATATCTCCAATGTGCATCGTAGGTAATCCCAGGGTAACCCCCGAAGTTACAAGGGATGTGTGTTTGCTAGCTAGAATGATGGCTGCTAATTTGTACTTCTCTCAAATAGAGGATCTCATGTTTGAGGTATCAAATATGCTGGTCACTTTCTTGATTATTTAATTTTATTAATCATTAAGGGCATGGGTCTTAACTTCTTTGTTTTGCCTGCTTTTGCAGTTGTCTATGTGGCGCTGCAATGATGAGCTCCGCTTACGTGCTCATGAACTCCATAGGTCCTCAAAGAGAGATGCAAAACATTATATTGGTATGTATTATTTGTTTTCTGAATTGAACACTTTTGAAATCTTTATTGGAATCTAATCTAATCAATCTAGAATACTGAACAAAATCTCAGATGAGCACTGCTGAATTTTTCATACCTGTTGATTCGTTCAGAGTTGAGTTTATAAGTAAACTCCAATTGGTCTTGAATGTCCTTGTAATAAATTCTTTATTGTTGCAGAGTTTTGGAAGCAGATTCCTCCAAATGAGCCATATCGCGTCATTCTTGGTGATGTGAGGGACAAACTGTATAATACACGTGAACGTGCACGCCATTTATTAGCCAATGGGACCTCTGATATCCCTGAAGAGACAACCTTCACAAATGTTGAGCAGGTATTATCCTCACAATAGCCCAATAAACTGTCAAAAGATAAGGGTAAATGGGTAATGGAACCTTTACACCTAAAAGGCAATTGACTTGCAGTGAGTCAGTGATATGTTGAGTTGCTTTCTTATTTTTAGTATGCTCTAATTTTTTGGACACTTTTGAAACCAAGATCATATTCTTGACGTTTACCCATGGGAATCTAGGAGCAGTAAAACTCGTAGCAATATATAGACTTCATTCCTTAATGATTACATTACTAGCAGTGGTGGATTTTCTCATCGGTAAAGACTTTGCTTATTGATTATGAGAATTTTAACTTATATATTAGGTTAAGTTGTCTGAATATGGTTTTGGTTTTTTCTCGAGCTAATAAATGGGCTTTTTTCAACAAAAATATGAAATGAGGATGGTTACAAATGCTTAGAGAATTGCATATTGCTAATCATTATGGTAATTAGTATGTTCAAGTTGGCAATAGTTTTTTCAACCACATATAATTAATTTCTCTTGCAAATTTTAATGGGATATATATATATGTAAACTCTATAACCTCCAATTTCTTCTTGTAGTTCCTAGAGCCTCTTGAACTCTGTTATAGGTCACTCTGTGCATGTGGCGACCGACCAATAGCAGATGGAAGCCTTCTTGATTTCTTGCGGCAAGTTTCTACATTTGGACTTTCACTTGTAAGACTTGACATCCGTCAAGAGTCAGATAGGCATACTGATGTTATGGATGCAATTACAAAATACTTGGAGATTGGATCTTACCGAGAATGGTCTGAGGAACGCAGGCAAGAATGGCTCTTGTCTGAGCTCAGTGGAAAGCGCCCTCTCTTTGGCCCGGATCTTCCTAAAACAGAAGAAATTACTGATGTTTTGGAAACCTTCCATGTCATTTCAGAACTTCCATCTGACAACTTTGGTGCCTATATCATCTCAATGGCAACAGCCCCATCTGATGTGCTTGCTGTTGAGCTTTTGCAACGCGAATGTCATGTGAAGCAACCTTTAAGGGTTGTTCCACTGTTTGAAAAGCTTGCTGATCTTGAGACTGCTCCTGCGGCAGTAGCTCGGCTTTTCTCGATAGATTGGTACAGAAACCGCATCAATGGGAAGCAAGAAGTTATGATAGGATACTCAGACTCAGGAAAAGACGCTGGTCGTCTCTCTGCAGCTTGGGCATTGTACAAGGCTCAAGAAGAACTCATTAAGGTTGCAAAGGAGTTTGGTGTGAAGCTGACAATGTTCCATGGCAGAGGAGGGACTGTTGGAAGAGGAGGAGGTCCCACTCATCTTGCTATATTATCTCAGCCACCAGATACTATTCATGGCTCACTTCGGGTAACAGTTCAGGGTGAAGTTATTGAACAGTCATTTGGAGAGGAGCACTTGTGCTTTAGAACACTTCAGCGTTTCACTGCTGCTACACTTGAGCATGGAATGCATCCTCCTGTGTCACCAAAACCAGAATGGCGTGCCCTCTTGGATGAGATGGCTGTCATTGCAACAAAGGAGTACCGCTCCATTGTTTTCCAAGAACCTCGTTTTGTTGAATACTTCCGATGTGTAAGTATTACTTGCATTCGATCTTCAATTATTAACCTTTATATAGAAGATAACCATGAAAAGATCTAGCTGTTTAAGTGGTATGTTTTCAAAAGTGATAGTTTGGTTAACATGAGTATTCAAAATTTGATCAATAATGTTCATGAGAATATACTTCTTCAACTTTCTTGATATATGCTCTTAACTTTCTTGATATATGCTCTTTGTTCTCCATATATTAATATGCTCCTTGAATTATTATCATCTGTTTTGTTCCTCAATTCTATGAATATTTTTTTGCTTGTACTCTAATAATTTGATGATTAAGTAAAAATTATCTTTTTTCTCCATTTGGAGTCATGAACCTAATGAAAAAACTTATAACATTGCAATTTCTTTCCTTTTTGTTCTCTTTTATTGATTAATATTATGAACTACAGGCAACTCCTGAGTTGGAGTATGGTCGAATGAACATTGGCAGCCGTCCATCAAAAAGAAAGCCAAGTGGAGGAATTGAATCACTCCGTGCTATTCCTTGGATTTTTGCTTGGACACAAACAAGGTTTCATTTACCAGTATGGCTTGGCTTTGGGGCAGCATTTAAGCATGCAATTGAGAAAGATTCAAAGAACCTCCAAATGCTTCAGGATATGTACAATCAATGGCCTTTCTTCAGGGTCAGCATCGACTTGATCGAGATGGTGTTCGCCAAGGGTGACCCCGGGATTGCCACCTTATATGACAAACTCCTAGTGTCAGAAGAGCTGTGGCCATTTGGAGAGCGTTTAAGAACAAAATACGAAGAAACCAAAAGCTTTCTCCTCCAGGTAATCTATTATTGCTTAGTTCATTTTTTTTTTCCTGCTATAGATGATGTTTCAATATTTTAATCAGCATTTGCATATTTTCATATCATCATGATGACTCTATGTAGAAAACTCAAAACAAGCTGTTCTACATTTCAATATTAACAGTATGCCATGGCTTTTTGCTTCCAACTTTTCCCTCCATATATTCATGCTTCATGTTATTCTTTTCTCTAGTGCAGGCAAAAGTGTGAAAATGAAAATGAAAATTGTTATAATAAACCTTTTTGTTTGTAGGTTGCTGGGCACAGGGATATCCTTGAAGGAGACCCTTACTTAAAGCAAAGACTTCGTCTTCGTGATTCGTATATCACAACCCTCAATGTGTTGCAAGCCTACACATTGAAGAGAATTCGTGATCCTGATTACCATGTGAAGTTGAGGCCACACTTGTCAAAGGACTACATGGAATCAAGCAAGCCAGCAGCAGAACTTGTCAAACTTAACCCAAAAAGCGAGTATGCTCCTGGTCTTGAGGACACCCTTATTTTGACAATGAAGGGTATTGCTGCTGGCATGCAAAACACTGGTTAAGATGCCATGGCAGTGTTTGTTTTCCTATATTATATGGTATATGTTATGGCGTCAGATATATAAACATTTATAACCTATAATGTGTGTCTACTAGAGATTTGGACCTGCATCAAATAACTATCTATTATTATGCACCAAGGTTTTGGTTAAGGTGTCTATAGATCCCCAATGCTACCAACGATGGCCGAGCGAAATGTGAACTAATTACGTACAACGATTAAGGTATTTTTTCTTTGGGATTTGCATTTGTCATTTAACATACACAACAAATTTTTTTACATACACAACATTTTGTGGGGCCCACACTTTTTGAAGAAGAAAGAAAAAAAGAAAATTACGATACGCAAAACGTATCTGTATAATTTTACGCAATCATTTTTCTTACAACATAACTTTTATAAAATCCTTTTTCTTTTGTCAAAAGTTATTATTATATTTTTTTGTAGAAAAAAAAATATTTCTATTATAAAGTTTGTTTGAATGTCTACTTTAAAAAAAAATATAAGTCATAAAAATAGTTAAAACTTAATTTTTTTTTTAAAACTAAAAATTTTAGATTCTAAAAAAATCGAAATCAAAAGTTAAATATTTTCTTTAAAAATTTAAATAGTTTTAATTTTTATAAAATGTACTTATGAAAGAAGCAATATATAAAGGGCAATGCTTTTCTCATGCTACATGAGATAATATTATCTCATGTAGAGACATAATTGGGTGGGTCCCACGGTTAAAAGAAAAGAAAAAAGAAAAAAAAATTACTGGCTCAGATTGCGATGTATATGTAACATGAGATAAATTTTTTTATGTAACTTGAGAAAAACATTTCTCATATATAAATAGTTTTTTTTTTTACAAGCTCATTTAAATGGCCATAAGTATAGTTTAAGTTGATAGATTAATGGCTAAATTCGATAATTTAGGCAGGTAAGCTGGCTCTCAGTTTTTTTGACTTAAGGTGGCACAAGAAAACTGAGAAGCGCTTTTATGAGATATCGTTTCAACAAGATATCGTTTCACGAGAAATTTGATAATTTAGGCTGGTAAGCTGGCTCTCAGTTTAAACTTCACCTTATCTCATATAAAAGTTTTTTTTTTTTTTTTTTTTAATTTGTTTTTGTGTTGTCAAAATTCTATCAATAGGTGTCGAAGTCAGTGGTTTGCCTGGACTAGGTTGTTTGGTTGGAAGGAGTATTTGAGTATTCAGAAAGCCTTTTACTTGATACGGAGATAGCTGAAGTTCGATCTCACACTTGATGCGGAGATTAGGAATTCAAATATGATAGAATCTTACTATGCTTGAAAATAGATAGGTGAGGATCATATTTCAAGTAAGTAGAAGTGGGTATGATAAACGTACGTCTGAGACTTAAGAAGCATTTAAGCTAATTCCTAGAAGAACAATTTGTGTTCTAGAAATTAAAAGGAATAACGAACATGCTATTTAACACAATATCAGAATTCAAAAGAATTCACATGATGAATAAATCTATAAAAAATGCAAAATAATTCCTAGCCCAATCAAATTGTTTTTTTAAGATGATTAATTTGTTCCATTATTGGTGCTTAAAATTGTTGGACAATTGCTTCTAATAGTAAAATGTAATAAGTTTTTTGAATAACGACACTTCCAATCAAGAGATCTCTTGGATACAACCGAATGCTTAAAGAATTGCAATGAAATACAAGATGCAAATATATATGAATGTGCAGAAAACAATAGGGAAAAATCAGAATATCGGAAAATTCTGATTCCTTTTATATTCAGACATTTTTTCAATTTAAACTTCTTATTTATAAGACACAAAATTCTAACATATTTTGTGTAAAAAATATAATTTTGAATTAATTATGTTTATAAATAAAAATTTTGATATGAAAAGATGTGTTTGTTGTCTTATCATGGATATGTGTTCTTTAAATTGTGACCTTACGCTTTTTATAAATTAATAAGGACCAAAATTCTGAAAAGAGAGTTTTCTTTTTCTATTGGTTTTTGCACATTTATTCTTCTACTCTTTTTCTATCTTGGAAACAATTATTCAGGAATATTTTTGGCCACCATAGAAATATTCTTGGCCACTATAGAAAGGTTCCCTATTGGTTTTTGCACATTCTTTGTATTTGTATTCTTCTATTGTAGTGCGATTGATTAGACATAAATTGAGTTCGATGGAGAGATAATCCATTCTATCCTCGAGAACAAATCTTGGCCATCATAGAGAGGGCAAGGACACAATATTTACAATATTTAATACTGGGCTCGGATTTTTCCTTCTTGCATTCATATATTTCGTACTATATGTTTCAATATGTGTGTGCATTTCATGGAACTATTTGCATTGTTAAACTATTTCTCTAACACAGATTATCCCTTTTTAATGATTTTAACATCACTTTTCTAACAAAAATAAAATAAAATAGTACGACCTTATAATATTTTATGTTGGCTGATATTCCAAAAATTTAGGGTTTCTTTTAGGGTTATATTCAAGTTGAACAAACTTCAAAACAACATGTGGTTCTCAATTAGTTTATTTTTTCTGCCTTACTCTTTAAATAGTTTCACGAGTTAAAAGCAATCTGGACGAATTGAAAATAAAAAATAAAAGTAAATAATACAGTTAAATGGCTAGCAGAATTGGTTGTAAATTATAGGAAGCAGAGGGAGAGGATAGAACCAAAAATGTTCTAAGACCGAAATCCTTACACAGAAACAAAATACAACCAAAAGCATATATGTTGAAAATAATTTCATCCTTTATTTCTTGTTTTGAAACCAACCTTTCGGAAATAAGAAGAGCTGCCAGTTATCGCATCATATTAAGATTCATTGGCAACTTTCCATTCCTTCTCTATCATCAACAAAACATGAATTTTAGAAACTAGTTATAAGAAAATTAAGATTAAACTTAATTTCTATTAGGATGTTTCGTTTGAAATATCGTTCTAAAAGTTGGGTGGTGGAGGTTGTCTATGATTGTGTTCGTGTGAATGGCCAGAAGGTGGAGTCAACTTTTGGAGAATGACACTGCTTGGAATGTTATTGACAACATGTCTTCTAGACGGAGCTCGAATCATCAATCCTTCATGGCCTTTGGGTGGAGGAGCAATCACTACTAGAAAAATCCTGTATAGCGAGGGAATTGCTATGCAAATTTTGTCGCTAATTTCATCCTCGCTACTACTTTCCCTCGCAAATTCCCTCGCAAACGTACTTTCCCTCGCAAATTCCATCGCAAAATCGTTTGCGAGGGAAAGTAGTAGCGAGGATGAAATTAGCGACGGAATTTGCATAGCAATTCCCTCGCTATACAAGACTTTTCTAGTAGTGAATGTTGTGGCCAAATGATGGGCTAGAAGGTGGAACTAACAATCTTGGGAGGGTATGGAACTCTCTGCTTGGAATGTTGTTGAAAACATCTCTTCTTAAAGGAGCTTCAACTTTGGCTTCTTCATGGTTGTTAATAAGATCCTTGTGAAGATGGGTCTTTAAGTCTACACTTTTCAAAAATGCAGCATATGCTATGGCTATATTAGAGAGAATAAGCAACAACAAGAGGGAGCTTGAGTCCACGATGATTTTAGAAGCCATGATAGATAACACAGGCTTGTCGTTAATCCACTTTTTGCTTTGTGAATTTGAGGAAAATATTGGTTTCAGTTTGAATTTATAGAATGGACACGGGAAAATGCTAAAATTGTTGCAATGTAACAGAAACCCGCGGTTGTAAGGAAATAAAAGATATAACTGTTAATATCGATGGTTGCACATAGAATTTTTGTCTTACATAGAATTAAAAAATTACTAAAAATCAAATAAAGTAACAAATTGTATGTAGAAGTTTTTATAGAGAAGTACAAAATTAATAATAATTTAAAACTACATTCCTTACATAGAAAATAGTATATAGAAGTTGTATTAAAAAGTAATTAAATCAATAAAAATGTTATATATACATGTTATAATTAACTTTGAAATTAATTAAGGTTTTTAATAATGAGTTAGAAACGGTGTGACTTTATCACTATACGGTTATATCTTCATGTTAAGTAAAGTTTGTAACATATAAAAAGAAACTGTTTTATGTTTCAACCGTTGTATTGTTTGAGTTTTAAATATCAGTAAATGTAACCTTAAACTAGATTATTTGTAGAGTTCGAGTAAAGATCCTATGTGTTCTATAATTGTATACACCAATTTGTGTTATTGAATTTGTTTGTGAATTTGCTTTAACAAGTGATTGATTAATTTGCAAGAAATTAAAGGGTGTTGGGTTCTGTTTGTGTAACATAGATGGTTTCAAGTTCATCAACCAGTTTGGTTAATGCACATGGTGAGAAACCTGTAAAGTTCAATGGAAATAATTTTAAGAGATGACAACAAAAAGATGTTTTATTTGACACGTTGAAGTTGGCAAATCACCACGCCATCACAGTAATGTTTTGATGGGAGAAACAAGTCTTTCATGCTTTGGAGAGCCGGAGACAGGTCGAAGTTCAGATTATGCTAGAAACCTTGAAGATTCACCAAGCCATCACATTAATAGAGTTTGCGGAAGCTTTCTTGTTTTCTTATTTTCTTGCATGTTAGGCTAGATTTTCTTTGTAGTTAGGGCTAGATGGAACCCAATTGAACCTTTACGTTTTGAATGAATCTTTAATATTAATTTCCTATTTTTATCGTATTAGTTCATCTTCTCTTAATGCTTTATTTGAGTTTGATCTTGTAGACTGATCCAGGGTGATCGTATGGCAATAGGAATGTTGGTACATGAACCACGTATGATAAACTCATTATAATTATTATGATTCTAGGGATAGACATAGGACTTATGCAATTTCTTTAACTTAATGCTTGTTTTTTTGAGGAATAACCGGGGAACTAGAGTTCTTTCAAGATAATAAAGAATTGGGATGTCAAGGGATTGAGTCCTAATTAATCTAAGAGAAATGATTGGCGATATGTTAAGAACGGTTAATTAAGGGTTTATTCATAACGAAAAGGGGAGATTGGGGTAAATTGAAACCCAACTATTTTTCTTGATTGACAAGTAATTTTGAATTCATATTTCATCCAAATCTCTTAATTGATTGTCCAACTTAAGCGGAAGTAGTGAATTAATGATAGAAATCTGATCCTCGTGGGAACGATCACATACTCTTACGCTTTATTACTTGTACTACCAGTGCACTTGCCGAAGTTGCAACAATCTTCAATTTTTAACCTCTA